TGAATTGAACCGAACCGTGGATTTTGTGAACCGTTCCACCCCTAATGGTAACTGATCCTGCTGTTTGCTATAATCTGAGCCAAAAGGAGCAAGTAGATCTGTTCATCTTCTGACCTGAAAACTCTCTAAAACTAAACACTAATAGATCAATCCTGGTAAGAGCTTCAGTGAAGCTGCTGTGAGTGAGATCTAAAAAAGGAAGACCAGCGGAAATAAACAAGGACTTCCTGGGAAGAAAACGCTGCTATGCATCCGATCAGAAAACTGTTAGTTAGATGGTCCGTCATGTTTTTCCCACCTTAAATGGGATTCCTATTTTTTTACGAAATGTGCAGAAAATGAAAACATGTGACAGGTCAACATGTTTCCTTATCATTGAACAAACACGATAATTTCCTGTTACTGTGAAACCAGCCACTGTTTCAGCACATATCCTGATGGTAAAATCCTCAGAACGTTTGTATTTTCTCTGACCAAAATAAACAATTTTTCTGGGTTTAATTTAACCATGTGACCCAAATTTAAAGGTGTAGATTTGAATCAGAATCTTCTAAATATTTGGAAAACCAACAACACTGGAAAAATGATCTATAAATAAGTAAAAAAAAATTTAAATTAAGGGTATTTACCCTTAATTTTAGTAGGTAAAAAAAGATAGTTTGCCAATGGAATGAGTATTTTACTCTTCAAATAAGATAATTCGATAAATGCGCTTGAAATAAGACAATGCAACTGTGTTTTCTTATTTTAAGAGTTCCATTGGTAAAATGTCTCTTTACCTCCTCAATCCAAGAACAAATGCACTTATTTTAAGAAAAAATGGCCGATCTAGATTTCGATTTTTCCCAGTGAATGTGTTTCCTTCCTGCACAGGAACACCTGCTGCTGTGTGTTTACGCATTACAGGATGTGGGCCTTACATTTCCCTGCTTTCTTCCTCCTCCTCTCTAAACCTCTCATTCCTGTCTCTGAAACACTGACTTGTATGTCGGCTGTTTCCGTGGAAACAAACGAAGAGGACGATGGTTCTCAGCAGAGCAGAAAGAGCTTTCCTTTCAGCTCCCATCTTGTCAAATCTGACATGTTTTC